CTTTCGCATATGTCGAAATATTGCATGATCAACGGCGTCTACTGTACATGCTCACTTGAAAAAGAATTGTGTGGAAAATGTGTCCTAAATCTTCTGCGTCAACTGCATGCGACCTTTTATACGATATCAACAGAACGTAACCTTCGAAGATCAGCTAGATGGAAGTTTGTAAAATATTGAAGATAAACAGACTGCCTTCGCGTTTAAATTTCAGATTTGATGAAAACGGGGAGCTGTAGCACTGACTTTAATGACAAATCTAATGCTTTTTCTCTTGGCCAGTATTTCTTCAGAACTCTGTTGTATGTCTCAAAATTTTCCGACATTGACAACTGGTGTGTTAGAAATGTATTCGCTAATCGGTCAAGGAGATATATTTGCCCCGCTGTGCCTTGCGACTATAGCAGGAGTCAGGAACGTATGGCTCGCGAACCAGCTGTGGCTCTTTTGATCATTGCATCCGGCTCTCTAAGATAAAATTGGAATTAAAAAATGTCAGATTTTGTCATTTTGGTTCCCTCAGTGAAGAAATCCAGAGGCTTATAATACTCAAATTTAATTGAATACAATCTTTAAATACATTATATGGTTCTCACTGAAATATATTTCAAAATATTTGCTTTCTTGGCTCTCTAAGTCAAAAAGGGTCCCGACCTCTGGTGTATAGCAAATTTTCGCCTACATTATGCGCTATGTGGCTGCCTTTGAATATTTAGGTCGGTTGACAGCTCACTGGTTTTGTGCTTAAGCTCCAAGAAAAACCCAACACATGATAGGGACATCACTGCCTAACGAAAGACACTAAGCTCGAAATGTCAAATCAAGTGCATCTTCTACTTCTTAGACATATTTCTTGAGATCTTCCGCTTAGCGCGGGAAAACGGAATGATTTTCGACATAGTATGTGCTAATTTTATCCTCGAGTAGAAATTAGGATAATGTCAAACTAAAGGTAACTCTGAGCAACAAATTCGAACATTTAGGGGGTTAGGAACGACCGTTCGGTCTTCTTCCTGGTAGAAAGAAGCTGATTGCCTGTGAAAAACATGAAAATGAGTAGAAAGAGTGGGAGCGTTCGAGTATAAACTGTCGATGATTCGTCGCATACGCCTCTTCTGCAATTAGGACTAGCCTGCCCATGCGTACTTTTACATAAATTTTTATTGCGCATGCATGCGCGAAGCACTTGACTATTGCTCATTCTAGGAAAATTATTTCATTAAATTCACTAGAATTCGTGAAGTATATCTCCTAACTCATGAAGTCTCATAAATTTCAGTAGGAAATCCCCGTTACCAAAAATTAAACTAAGAAGAGGCTTCCAAAATCTAACAGTAGTAAACAAACGACTAATCTTAAAAATAGTAATATAGTTATTTATAAATTAATATTATGTTGTCAATATTACGTATTACAAAGTCAGCACACTTAAGTATACTTACTTTTTAAAAACATAAGCTACCCCTCTATGCAAAAAAACCGAGTGAGTAAGCAGCACATGTAGAATTACGTGTAAAAATAATTTCTTGGGGAATTTCGCACAGTAATAGTCTTCCAGGTTAGGTGCAAAGTAAATTATGGCCGTTTAAAAGCTGCCTAAATTTCGAGAACTAGATCTTGTATCTTTCCGTTTGTGCGATAAGCGTTTGATTAAGGCAAAAATATCTTCGTTCGCTTACGTCGAGTGAAACGTCTTAGGAATAAACTCGTTCACAAGCTCACATGTTGACAGGATGGTCATTGACTCATTATTTTAAAGATAATTTTCAGTTGCAAAACATGCAGTGTGTTAAGTAAAACACATTCTTGACCTCAAATCCAACTACCAAATAAAAACAACAAAACCCAAATAGAGGTTAAACTACTCTTTCAAAGTTCTATCAAGATATTGTGTGAGATAGGTCATCAACTTTACGGCGTCTTAGCTTGTTTGAGGCCAGTTGTTAAGCCCACAGCCACGTGAGGGTTTTCAGATAAGTTGCGGGCATAACGGACTTCCGCAAGCATACACAATCTTGCAGTCAGCAGAATGCTACGTCCACTGTCACAACTAATCCGGTAGTCGTCTCCGGGACACCCAGAAGGAACAGACAATGTCACGCAGACTCCAGGCAGTGCAAGGTCACAAATATGGCTGACGCTGCTATCAGTCCTCTTTTGCTTAGAGCAGGTGACACGATTATAACACATCTAAGTCTGAAGCAAAACAGCCGCGGAGACCAAATAATCATTTCACTGTGATCGTCAACTCCGTGTAATTACGATACCTGGGAATGGGCTTCTTACCAAAAAGTAAAAAAAATTTTGTGAGACCATACATTAGAAGAGACTGCCTTTTTAAACTCAAAATAGCCTACCAAATGGCAATATGCAAACTAGCATTATTTTCTGAAATTATTAGGACGTTTGGCAGATTTGCTTAATTTAGTTGACTCAATTGTGCAGAAACTCCTGGCTTTCGGCGGGAGTTGAACCCAGATATCAGGGAAGACCTTTACACATCCAACGCTCTACTACTTGACCGATTTTTCTCTTTTGGATTGAATATAAATCGGTTGATTTCTTATCTATTTAGGGAACCCACATATTTATAAAACCCGTGGATTTGCCAATGCTATCCCTGAAAAGCAAGTTGATAGAGTTGTTGCGAACGTTGCGAGAGGTGCGAAACGAAAATGTGAATACATTTTTTGGCTGCTATCTGGACTCTGACACCTTCAATCTTGTCTACAAATATTGCAGCCATGGGAGCCTCCGGGTAAGCCATTCAGCAAGCATTTTGTATGTTTTTTTATGTAAAGACACTGAGCTTGACCTTGTTTTTTTTCAAAATGTGAGAGCAATCTCTGATGGAAAGAGTACGAGACAGGCTTGACGGCGTTTGAAGAACTGCTGGCGATGGAGAGGACAGCTCTCTCCTTGTCAACACAAGCGAAAATGAGGGTTTTAGAAAGTAACTGAGAAGAAGCAAGTTCGATCGCGAGAGGTGACAATCGTGTGATCCGCGGGTCGATTCCCCAGTCTATAAGCCGGTACAATGACCTGCCCAACTAATATTCAATGCTGAGACTCAGTTTGATCAAAAAAATTCGCCACTCAGGGAATACACAGACAAGCGCGTCTTCTAACGTCAGGGATCCAGATGGCCAAGCTGTCATCACGACCAAGTTCAACACGGATGATGAAAGTTCGACAGGTCACGACCCGCATGCGGGCCATTAAGCAATTAACACACAAGTGAATAACTATCCTCGATGAAATAGGGAGGCAGTAATTGCCATAAGTATGCATAGCATACCCCATAAATACTGCAACCCAATGCGCATTTAGCATTCGTTTCTGCTCTCCTCTCGGATGCTGTATCCGCAAAGGAGTCCGAAACTTCAGGTGAATAAAGTGCTTGTCCTAGAGATCATATCTGCTTCCTCTCAACTCTCGTCTTGTCCGTTAAATTAATAAATTCTGATGGTTTAAAACAGTTCACAGGGTGTCAGGGTAGCAGCTAATTGACCCATCTCGTCGAGGCGCCAGATTGCACGCAATTCTCTACCTTAGTTCCGTCGTTCCAGGCAATGATATTGCCGGCCTTTTGGTCAGCCACTGGATCGCACAAGCATGACATTTGCCACAACAGATATAAAGCTGATGCTTATGTTTCTCTGTTTCTAGCGCAGCATGTTGACCTTTTACAAGCTACCCTCCAACTTGTAACGAAGTACTCTTAAAGATAACTAGTAATACCGTAAGGTGTGTTGCTGCATTTAAAAACATGAATTTCTGCTAGTTATTTGATAATGAAATAATTATCATCATCAAGCAATTCAGGGGCAATCAGGACAGTCCCGTTTGCTTAAAATATAATGCAAATATTGTAACGATGCCTTAAATTTATTAGGTATACTAGTTCTAGCTCCTAAACTGACTTGTCCGCTAATGCTGACAATCACTGACAGACAAAAAATGCATGACAACAAATATTCCGCAGTGCCGTAAAGTATTATTCTTATTTCAATTGTGTTTAGTTTAGCCAGTATTATAATCATTTACCTTTATTGCACAGTCGCAAACTTAAATTCAAATCCGAGCGCCGAACTGTTTATTTTCTTTGGTTATAAGGATATTCTGGAAACGAAAAGGGTTGTTTTGGATGTCGATTTCAAGCTTTCACTTATTAAGGATCTGGTAAAGGTGAGCTCGAACTTGAACTATATTTGCTCAAATATTTTGATGTGATGTCCATTATCTGCAAAGTCAGTAGATATATCGACTACAGTTAAGCGATTGAGTCCCCAGTGTACACACAGGGGGTAAAGTATCCGATTTCATATAGTGACAGTGATTATTTTGTTGTGTTGTCCTTGTTTTTCGCAGTAGATGGTATTTAACACAAAGTTTTGCAAATTCTTACATATATCCTTTAAAGAATTAGACTGACTACACTTGATAGAGAGGTGTATTATGTGTAACAGCCATTAACAGTTATGCAGAAGCTAAAATGTTCACTTAATTTGAGTAGTTTCCCAGTTTCTGCATAGGACTTTCCCGGCCACTTTTTTCCATCAATATGATGGTGTTTTCTTTCAAAAACGACAAGTTATTCCTATGCATGGCCTTTTAAACAGTCAGTACAAATATTATCACCTAGGGCATGAGCTTCATTCACAAGTCTGCCATTAAAACGCACGGACGATTGAAATCTACAAATTGTGTTGTCACTGGACGCTGGGTTCTTAAAATTACCGACTACGGCATTGGAAATGTGAACGCTCTCTATGGAATATACCACAAAGCATACCCAGAAGGTGAGTTTTTGCTTTCTAATTGTATTGAAAAATAGCAAAACATAGCACTGCATCTTTATACCCTTGTCGTTTTCCCTTAACCAGTGGGACGTTTTTAGTTGGTCACTCTCTCTATGGCTGTCATGACGATCTATCCAGCACAGATTGTTTTAAACGAATACACCAGAATGTCTCTGAGGATTCTTAATCTTTTTAACCTAAGCTCCCAGTACGTTTCAGCAAAGTTTGTGAGATTACGATGCTATAAACTGAGGCTGGCTCTAGATAGAGTTGTTTCAGGTTTGATCTACGTTTTGTAACAAGAAACACAAAGGTATACATTGGGCAAAATGCTGAGACTGGGTGTATATTAGGTGCAGTACTTAAACTACTATTGCCGAGGGACTCCTTATTGTGAAAGGATCGTTTATTTTATTCATTGCAGCCTCATAATCACGGAACCAATTTACTGCGTTTCAGAGTTATCTCTTCTTTTGCCTTTTAACATCCTAAAAGGACAGTTCATTCGTCCATCGCATGCACAAATAATCTTTCCGTAGCTAATAATCCTATGGTAAACTAAAACGCCAACGACTTGGTTCAGTCTAAACGTACACCGAAGCTTATGGCAGTTCAAGGACTTACATTGCTCTATTCGCATAAATTTTGCATTGCGAACTCTTCCCTGTTTTGTCAAGAGCTGCTATGGACTGCCCCCGAACTTCTGCGTGAGCCCGTCAAAAGGATTACTGGGACACAAAAGGGGGACGTCTACTCCTTCGGCATAATTCTTCAGGAGATCCTTTGCTGTTCTGAACCCTACCCCAACTGTGATCTGTCGGCAGAGGAAATTGTAGAAAAAGTGCAGGCTAGCGATCCGCCCTTCAGGCCAGAGGTACGATGTTTTATCTGCAAGCTTGTCCTAACATGAGCAACCAGATAAACGCACAACTGCCTAAGCTTAGCAAAGGCTTCTTCCATTCTAGTCCTGGAGTCTTTACCTTATCCGCAACGGTAAATTAATTGCACGTATAATACGTAAGATTTTATCTAACCAGACCGTACTTCAATCCCATGTACTTAGGTACAGTTGCTTAGAATCGCAATATTAGTTAGCTGAGGCAAAAACTTAAAAAATCTTTGTATCCACAAATCCTTCTAACTTCAAATGCTCCCATTATTGTGGGCAACATGAACACGTGAAGTTCCTGAGTACAGTCGAGATTATGATGCGCGTTTAATAAGCATATTTTTAATTCTAATCTAAAATACAAACCTAACGAACATTTGCACTAGTACTAACGTCTATAGAACACTGGCGTTTTTTATACAAATCCGTGCCGTATGTGTGGAATCTAACAATTGCTGCTTTATAGAACATTACCCAATGTTTACTTTTGTCTCTATGAGTTAAAGGGTAGTGCAAAATATAACATCCATTGTTTAATTGAATATGAAATGTTTTTTGGAAGCATTTTATATTTAACATGCAACAGTAGGGATTAATGGGCCGTTCTAAGATTTCTGCTGAGAATTCACATTTTTACAACTTTCAACAATGGATTAGGAACATGCACCGCGATATTCGGGGTATTACTCTTGTTACTCTGATATGTTTACTTGGTTAAATAATTATCTTGTCCTACGTAAGGCCTTTTCACGCTAAATATTAGTTTTGTCCTGTTATAAAAAGACATATGTAGTTTACGGAGGTTCCTTTTTATATACTGTAGGACCCTCAGTACGTTGACAACTATGTACTGCGAATATAAAAGAGTGGCAGTGGTTTTGTATGTCCATAAAAATAATGCGAATACTCTAAATACATAGCATTGATGACTGCACCTATGCAAAGCCAATTATATGCTCATTGCGTATTTCGCAGTCTGAGTAGATGATAAATAGGGTCATTCGATTTTTTAAATGTTATATTAGGTTGAAAAAATTTCATTTTGTTTTATCCAACGCATAACACCTAGCGCGCAGGGGCAAAAGAGACTAGCCATGTCCTTCGTATTCAGACCTTGTGTAGGTGGGCGATTTGTCAGTTAGGTTATCCAACACAGTTTTTTATTTAGGGGGGAATTCGTGCTTCCTTGTGATACTCTGAACAAAAAGCAGTATGTTTTTGCTTTTAAAACTATGGGCTTACTTAAAGTCTCGTAAATAAGACTGAATCAGTTCCTCACTTTCCGGAGTTAAAACACAACACCAAATCTATATTTTTCCTTCCTAAAATAGTAAAAATTTGAAAAGGTGTCATTTAGGACAAAAAAGGTAAATAGTATTACTAATTTTCGAATGTTTAAGTATACGCAAACGCAGCTGAGTCAAGTTTAGAGCCGTATTATTAATAAAGACCAGAAGTGGGACTTTATATTATATAACATTCTGAACTGATCTAACTGGCGACAGTGTTTCCATCTCTGTCCTCGGAGGCGAGCTGACGGGGCTCTTTGGTTCAGTCCATGTGTTATGCTAAGAGCCAGTATGGCTGCGAAAACTCTCAGCTGACCAGCAAGTGACCTAGCTTCTACAACAGCCTGTTTGTGCACAAGCTCAGGTTCAGTAAAGAGGGGGGCACGATTAGCGGCAAAACACTTCAAAAGGTAGTGTATGCTCTGCGTTGCCTGTGGTCAATGTCCATTTAGAGTTTCTGTTGGTTCTACCAGAGGCAAAAGTCCTTAGTCTAAAGCATAATTTATGAATGGACAGCATGCAATTTCGCAAATATTTATTTTGCCTTCAAGGTACACCTCCCAGAAATCCCCTATTTCTTCAAGGATCTGATGCGCTCGGCTTGGGCAGAAAATCCAGACCTTCGTCCAACGTTCCATGAGATTACCGTCCAGCTAGATCAGTACAGTAGTGGAAAGTGAGTTCCGCTTTTCGACCTTCCACGTCTTGTAGTTTATATATGTATCGACTATTTATGTGATATGAATACGGAAAAGCTTCATCTTCGTATTTACTTATTGCAACCTCCGTATCGTCTTGTCATTGAGTTAATACGTAAATCAGAATCCAAGTTAGTCTCACCTTTCGGGACTGAACTCCCAAGAATTTTCGAATGACTCGATTTTAAGGACGGACTAAATGATGCATTTTCTAAATGAGCAAAATGATGCCGTTAAGCGCATGATATTGCGGTTTTTATTGATTAACAAGGGTAGAATGTATGAGCCTGTCTATAAATAAGCTATTCCTAAAATTAAAGTTAAATTCTGCATCCCTGATTATCAGAACGCAAACCCATCCTAATCGGAAGTAGATTGACATGCCGCCGATTAGGATTTCAAAGGAATAAACCCTTTGATTCCACAGAAAGCGTTTTTTCGATGTCAGACTAATAAAATTCTCTTCTGGGTAAGAAAAAATAACAGTAATATTTTGACGACCTTTTGAATTGAAATGGAAAAGACCAAAAGGTATTACGCATAAAGGATATATGCTCCTGCCAGATTACAAGATTTGTCTTTAATTGCGAGGCTTATTTGGTAATTGGAATTAATTTTAAGGTAGTTGAATTGATGTCTCAACTCTCAGATCGGGGCCGAATGAAATCTAAATTGAAAGTTAAAATCAATGAGGGGCAGAAAAGACTGAAGAAACGGTTCTTTCGGGCTCCATAGTGCTCTCTATAGGCAGCCGAGCCCTCAAAAAACCCTAGGGGATTATCCATGAGCGAACTACACAGTGCGCATAAATTTCTGCTGTGCGTAGTATCTGTTAATTGTGGGTGCGCTGGTTGTAGAAAGGTAAGAAGAGTTAAATAAAGTAAATATCTCCCTCTTCCTTCAATTTCATTCTTCCCGATTCCCAGTTGTCGTAGTTTTTAAAGCCACGATGTAACTGTCCATGGTCGTGTTTCACACACGTAATGTTTACTTACGCCTTTGCCCAGAATACACAGTTGCATAAAGATTTTCTCTCCCTCACAGGAAAACCAACCTTATTGACCATATGCTGACTCTGATGGAAAAGTATTCGGAAGACTTGGAGTCCCAAGTGAGAGAGCGAACGCTGGAGCTTGAATCGGAAAAAGCCAAAACAGAAGAACTAATCGCAAAAATGCTGCCACTGTGCGTCGATTAGAAAGTACCGCTTACAACAACATGGGCTCATTTCTGTTTACAAGATGAAAATATTTAGCATTTTTCATGTCTGAATGGGTCCTTAATTTGTCTTTACTTCCGATCGCCGGTAATGTCGCGAGGAGGAGAATACATCCAAACGCCAGATAAAGTAAGAAGACGGGGGTGTCAAAAAATTAATATCTTGGCAATAGATTGAGCTTTCATTTCTTCTTGCAGGCCCCAAAGGCAATGAAATTCAAGTGAACGTTAGGCTAATGAGATCGTTTTACAGTTGGCTTGAGGTCGTGGCCTTAGACGCCTGCGTGTACAAATTACGTGAACGATTAGACTTCGATTTCAGCTCGAATAGACCACACTTAGATCTTTCGGAAAGTAGAGCTATCCTAAGTGGATGTCACATACCACACAACAACTTTGTCCTCTTTGAAAAATATTAAATAACCGCTCCATATCTCAGCAGCCGACTGTTTAAGAGACAAGAAAGTTTTTCGAAAGTCACCAATTAGAGTAGTAACTCCGGCGCAATGTGCAGTACTATCATAAAGTTTGCCATAGGGTGACCAGAAATAATTTTTGTAGGGGGACGGTTGAGCCTCTGTCGACGTTGTTCGCTCCGGCGTCTCATTTACTTCGTTGGGCGAATTTGTTCTCGGCCTTCAGAGAGCTACCATCTTAGGTTGAAGCAACAGAAAGATAGAACGGCTAAAGCTTGAGGTATGACATTCGGATACCTACTCCGACAACAAGCATCTTGCTTTTCCTGCAGCTTACGTACGTACACGAAAATCGGGACAAGAAGACCCTGCAGAACTCAAGAACTCCACCGAGACAAAATCTGAAAACGCCGACAGCGGCTCACCCCTTTCCCCGTCCCATGGAGGGTGTTATTCACTATTAAAGCAGCTAGACTGTCCGTCAAACATCACCCATAGGGTCGAGGCAACAAAACATTGACCAGTCCGAGGTTTACAAACAGGTGATGACACTACAGTTCCTGTTCTGGTTGATGACCTGCAGTTAGAGCTTCGATAATGGACAGCCCACCAAGTACTCTCAAATATCAGCATATTAATAAATTTTTTTAGGTGAACTTGCCTTATTACTCAGATTATCAACCCGGATCTGTCAATTTTGTCAATCTGAATGGTTCAAAATATCTCGTTCTTTGCAAATCTTTTAATAGACTTCATTTTTATTACGACAGCTCTGTTGCCCAAGCGCTGATAGCTGGCAACTGTGTGCCCCCAGAAGCCTTCGACGAGGTGACTATCTACTTCAGTGACATCGTTGGCTTCTCAGCAATTTCAGCCTGGTCTACACCTCTACAAATCGTGGACTTACTCAATAGGCTTTATTCCACCTTCGACAAAACAATTGGGAAATTCGAAGTTTACAAGGTATTTCGAATATAATCACTTAGGAAAACCAAATCCTTGCATCAATATATTTCAGGTTTATTAACTGACGTTTATTAGATGACTACTAAATCTGAAATAGTTCTAGAAAATAACATGCAGACGTAGGCATAGTCTAATGATATTGCAATGGATATAACTTATCAGTTTACAACACTGCTGAAGTCCCACGATATCCCATGAAATGAAAGAAAATAGATATAGTAATGTAAATTATTTCAAAGCGCTGGATTTACAGTAAGGCACTCAATGCGTATTCTTGGACAGATGGTTTCAGCAGGGCCTTTGCATTTCAGGTTGAGACCATAGGCGATGCCTACATGGTGGCCTCGGGGTTGCCAATCCGAAACGGTAGACAACACGCTGGTGAAATTGCAACAATGGCTCTGGAGCTGCTCAATGTAGTTGGAACATTTGTCATTCCACATATGCCACGGATTCCCATTTTACTTCGCATCGGGATGCATTCTGGTAACTGTCTTTCTGTTTCATGCCGTCGTATACATTGGGAAACCAAGAAATCGAGCATGAGGCAGAAATTATTTAAACTATAACCCTCAGAGTCGCTCAAACAGAACTGTTGAGACGGTTACCAGTTCAACGCCTTTCAAGACGCAGTCTTGGCTTGGTTTATTATACTTTGGATTATATTTCGAGTAGTTTCCGAACCCATCTCAATGCCCGCTGTGTATTACGAAATATATTGATTTCTAGAAACCGAAACATACGTTTTTTGCATGAGTAAAGTGGAGCCTCTGAAAAATTATTCATCAGTTTTGTAGAACAACAGGAAATCGTCGTCCCGATAGACTCATTTAATTACACAATTCTTAAGCGAGTAGCATTTATTTTGCGTGAATCGTAAACCTATCAGAGATAATTATGTGTTAGGCATATAAGCCGATTGGATGAGTAATCATTTCCGGAAATATTTTTCATCCAGGTGGAGTGCAAACATTTACAAATAGATCATAATAAAACCTTTTGTCTTTATCCCATAAATTAATCTGCAAAGGTTAACTGAGTAAGTTGTCTGAAAGGCGTTAGTACAATGATGAATAAAACAAATTTGACATGTAAACAGATTTAGTTGAAAGGTAATTAAATTAGACCTTAACATAAATGACTTCGTCCAGTATTTACGAAAGGGGTCATACACTTTTGTCTGAATAAATAAGTCACCGACGACACTGCTACGTTTCCTGGCGCTAAGAATATCTCATCGGCCGCATAAATTATCATTTTTTGACATATCCAAAGAAAGCTGCATGAATTTAACCCAACTGAAGGTAATGCACCTTGAAACTTTCTGTGGCCTTCGAATTCAAGTTAATGAAACTTGAACTGAAGCCCTTTTCGTGCGCAACTTTAAGCCAACTGTTTACATAATGCTGCGCTCTGTGTGGCACAGGCGTTGCTTTCTTGTACAGCCACAAGTGCCGTTAAACTCCCATACTCTTTTCCCTAGGAGCCTGTGTTGCTGGCGTAATCGGCCTTACCATGCCAAGGTACTGTCTTTTTGGTGATACAGTTAATACTGCATCTAGGATGGAGTCGTCCGGCGAAGGTGAGTATATTCTTAAAACACTTTAATGACATATTTGCAGTGTTTAATTTCACATGCTATTGATATTTAAAGGATGAACGCTATATCGCTGGTGACGTTAGCGTTTTGATTCTACGGGTTATTTCACGATTTGCTAAAAATGCCTAAGACGCACATGCGTTGTATAGAACACGAGATGTAGGTGCGGAAATTGAAATTAACTTTTACTTAGATTTTAATTCTTTTACTCGTAGCAGCTTCAGAACAGCATAAATATTTCGAGAGAAAGGTGATGTTGTTTCGTTTTCTTCACTGAGAACGATACCCCTTCGACGAAACAAGATGAAATTTTGATCACGACCAAATTGACGAAATACGCAGAATTTATTGACGCCATGCAAATTCGCAACCTTTTAGTAAAGTTGAATCTGAACTAGCCTGTTCAAATACCTCCCCCTCTCGCTTGCACTATGCGCACAAGCATAAACCGCCTACCAGACTACACACAGGACGCTTAAAATTTGCTCTTGCTTTCCTTATTCACTCATGGGTTACGCAGTATTTTAGGTCCCATTATTCTGCCTACGACTCCATTGGCAACTTATTTATCCCGTTGTCGGAAGCTGATCTTTGATAACGCCGGTACTTCGATAGGCGCCAAAGCTACTGGTACCATTTTTGCGAACCGGCGTATAATATCGGAGAAAACAACTTAACAGAAGGCACAATTGAACTTTCATATCCAAAAGTCCACTGTTTTAGATTACTCACAATCGGGTCAGTGTGCTACAGGCGGTCTGGCAGGACATGTTAGCTAGGTCTATCGTAAGGATAACTTATATGCCCCCCCCCCCTAAACAGGATACGGCAATAGGAACGCTCTACTCAAGTCGTAAAGGCGACTCTGCGTCTAATTCCAGTAAGGTTAAATATTGCCATTTTCTAACCCTAACATTAGCCCTAACATAACCCTACAGTGGAAGAAATGTGATTTCAAGGAAAAACGTTCTTTGGAAAAAATCAAATCAATTTTTTCAGTGAATTTTCGACACTGGATCCCCAGGTCCTCATCAGACTTGAGAAAATTTGCAATGAAGAATTAAAATTTCAAAAGTGCTGGTATAGTTGTATAGTCATCCAGTGTGGGCACTAATTAGCAGTTTTGGTTCATGTTAGCCCGTGGCGATCGGCTGTCGTCTTTTCTATCTTTATTTGAGATGTTCGTACACTCCATCCAATTCGATGAATCATCGGAGAGCATGGCTTCAAGAAATTTTCGGCTCTTTTTGGAAGGACAACCTCCGACGATGTGTTTTTGTCCCGTGCAATGGAAGATGGAAGAGACGACGGCCGATCACTACGGGCTAACATGAACTGCAACTACTAATTACCGCCCACACCGGATGACCTCGATTGACGCTGGACTGACACAAAGTGCGGTTGTCAATTAGCCACTACGCTATTGTGACTCTAATTTTATCCACCATGGACTGACGCAACTTGCAACTGCTAATTAGTGCTCACACCGGGTGACTGTATAACTGTACCAGCACTTTTGAAGTTTCCATCGTTCGTTGCACATTTTCTCAAGTTTGACGACGACCTGGGGAACCAGTGTCGAAACTTTACTGAACAAAATCACCCTATTTTCGCAAAAAACGTCTTTCCTTGAAAAATAAACCTGCATCTAAGATATATTCCTCGCCCAAATCCCACAATTACCAGCAACCTTGGCCTTAATTTCAAACTGAACCCTAACTTAACGGTAATCTCTTGCCTACCCAAGACTTACCCTTAACCATAACCGTAAACCAAACCATACTTCCCCTGGAATTTGACGAAAATTCCCCGTATTCAGAGCATTTCTATTCTCATGTCTTAGTAAGGGGCCACAGACAGAGAGAAACACGCCACTCTCAGCCTTCTTCGCCATAAATATTATTGCAACGTTTTTTACATATAACTTTGGTTAATGAATATGAAGCATTCATGCC